TTTAACCGACGATTTAACGGGACTTACGCCTAACGCGATATAATACTTAACTCTCGACGATTAAACGATTTAGAAGAATCCGAGATTCTTCGGTATATAAAGAAGCTCGAGTTATAAGGATTCCCGCCCCGGCTAGCCTATATAGCGGATATAGCTAATCGACTACTCCGTATACGCGCTAGTAGATACGTCGGAAAGAACTAGATTATATCGTTTATTAAGCGATACCTAGAACTTAAATCGAAATACTATCGCGTCTACGACTATAAGAGAGCTAAATACGAAGATCTAGCGAAAATTCGGGATTAGTTTCGGCTTATAGTGAATATAGTTACGAAATATAGCGTAGCGGAGTCTAATATCTATAACTTCGACGAGACTAGGTTTATAATAGGCGTTCTTTATACTATAAAGGTCGTTATAAGCGCGGAAAGGTCTTTAAAACCTTTAATAATATAGCTTAGGAATAGGGAATAGGTTATAGTTATTTAGGGTATTAGTACGTCTAGCTATATAGTCCCGCTATTTATTATTATCGTAAATAAAACCCGACTCGAAAGCTAATATCGAGATAGCCTATTACTATTATAGATAATTATTATAATAACCGAAAACGGGTAAATAATAAACGAGAGAGGCCGAGAATAGATTAAGTATTTCGATCTTTATATAAAACCGCGAACGGTTAATATATTTTATATCTTTATCCTTAATAAATACGAAAGTTACTACTTTAACGAATTCCTTTAATATTACGAGAATAATAATATTATACCTCTCTATATACTTACTTACTTATCGTATTTACTCTAGCCTCTCGACGTTATTTATTTCGGACTATTAAAGGCTTCCTATAATAAGTAAATCGAGATAATATCGCGAATAAGTATATAATATATTATTAAGGAGGACTTCTTCGTTACGTTTTCCGCTATATTTAAGGAGACTTTTATAGAAAAAAATATATAAGCGGGCTTTCGGGGTATTAGGTTTATTCCTTATAACCTAGATTATATTATTTCGAAGCTAGTAGTAATATAGAAGACTCTAACGCCTCCTAAGAGTAATACTAAGTTACCTAAACCTTAGGTACTAAAGACGCTTAATAACCCTATTAAAGTTAGTTTATATACCGATTATATTATTAATCGGATTAAGAGATATTAAAGAAGCTCTTTAATATTAATTATTAAAGCTATTAAATAATAAAGTAAAGTAGTATAAGTTATAATATATAGATATACTCTTATTAACGAAGAGTTTAAGATTAATTAGTAAGAGCTTATAGTTATTAGTAAATATTATAAGGTTAAAAAAACCCGTATATAGTATAAAGGACCTCTTACTATAAGTTAAGCTTAGGTTTTAATTAAGTAGAAAGATCTAGATATAGTTATAAAGTAAGAAAACCGCGTAAGTAGTAGTTACTGGATACGGTCCTCCGCGACCGCGCTAAGGTATAGTAATTACGGCTAGCCTAGATATAATATCCGATTATATTAAGTATATATAGATTATATCGGAGTAGATGATTTCGAGTAGAGACGAATTAATTTTCAGTATTATAGTTAATTTCGTAGGGGTTATATATCGATAAGTATAATAGGGTAGTCTACTCGCCCGGGTAGTCTACTCGCCTAGGAAGTACGTTAACGATAAAATCGATAAAGTCGTTATATTAATTCTACCTTTTATTATTAACTTCTTCTCGCCTCCTCTATAGTTCTATTAAAAGGCTTTACGCTAGCGAGTACTAGAGTAAGTACGCTTAACGTAGTAGCTCGTAATAGCTTAATTAGAGGGCTTAGATCGTATTTTTATCGGTATATTTCGTATCTCGAAGCTAGAATTCCGAGTACTTATAAGCTAAGCGTAAGCCTAGTATATTATTCGAGGCTCTTAATATCGATTAATAGAATAAAAGCTATTAATTTTTCTATATATCGTTAACTATATAATAACGTAAAAGGTAATAGAAAGTCTATTAAAAGTCCTTTAGAGCTATATTCTAAGGATATTCGATAAAGTATTATAAGCGTTATATAAGCTCTATATCGAGGTCGTAAAGCTTTTTATCGACGATTTCCTCGATAAATTTATCGAGTTAAACTTACGATATTATTAGTTTAATAGCTATATTAGAGCTATTAATAGAATTTATATATTAGCTTTTATAGAGGCCTCCTCTTAAAAGAGATTCTTTAATAAAAAAGGAGGGATATCTTAGAACGTATTTACTATAGTGAAATTCGACTTTATATTTAATTACGTTTTAATAAATATAGAGGGGTTAATAAATAAATCTATTCTTCTAATATAAGCTTTAATAAAGTCGTTCTAAGTATCTAAAGGCCGTTTCTATTTCGTAGATAGTAGGTTTATATAGGACTTTTAAAGGTTTATTATACTATTTAGAGGATATCGATATTACTTTAGAGACTTCGAAAATATCGATTAAGATAACCTATTAATAGAGGATAAGTATAATCGTATCTATATATACTTTTAAGCTATCGTTAAATAAGTTTTTAGTATCTTAAAGCGTATATTTACTATATTAAGGAAAAGACCCTTAGAATACTTATTTAAGATATAAATTAATATAATATATACTTTAATAAGTCTCTAGAACTTTCTATAATAATAATAAGATAAAAAAGATAATTTAAAAAATATTAAATTTATTATAAATATTAGAATAAATATAGAAAAAGCATTATAAAGGGTAAAAGAAAAAGTATAATATTAAATTAGAAATAAGTAAAGCTTAGAATTAAGGATATTAAATAATAATTCTATTTAGAAATTAAAAGAGTAAGTCTCTAATTAATTAAAACGCTTAAATCGATTCTAAGCTATACTATATATAATTAGCGTTATTAATTATATAAACTAAAATCTATATTTAAATATTAAATTACCTCTTCTATTAAATTAATCCCTCTTTCTATATTAACTTATTTATTATTTATATTACTTATTATATTTATTCTTTATAGAAATAATAACTAAGAGCTCTATAATAAGTAATTAAAGGTAAAGGCCTTAAGAGGATTATTAGAGAAGTATTCTTTTACTTCTAGAAGACCTTTAAATCCGAGATATTAACTAAATAGCTATTCGTAAATAAGTAATACTTACCCTATTACTACTTCGCCTTTAGGAGCTATAAGCTTATTAAGGCCCTCCTAAATTACCTAAGTAGCTACTATTTAGCCCTATATTATTAAAAGTTAAGCTTTAGCCTATTAATACTACGAGGAGAGTAAAGAGGCCGAAAAGGGTAAGTTAAGGCTAGAGAGATCGACCCTTAGAGTAGGAGTCTCTATATTATAGCTTAGATCTTATATCTTACTTAGCTTCTCGATCCGCTACCTCTTTCCCTACCTTTTAATTATATTTTTATCGCTTAAAGGCTATTATTAGCGATAATCCTAAACCTCTATAATATCCTCGCTTATTATATATATATAAAACTATATCTCTTTTATTAGAGAGTTAATATAAAGGAAGCCTCGAAGCTATACTTAGGCTATATAATTATTCCGTCTTTTAAAGGTTTCTTAGTTCTATTTAGAGGTTAATATTTAACCTATCTCGTTATTATAGGTTATTCTAGAAGTCTCTATAAGTTATAGAATCTTCTAATATTTAGTATAAAGATTATTATATTTTATAGAGAGCGTTTATAAAGTAATATTTAGTATAAGGAACGTTAACTATAAATCGGGTAGGATTTCCTCGAGCATAGCCTTAAGAGTAATACGCTTATTACTTATTATAAAGAGTCTTCTTTATATTATTAAATATTTAAGGCGTTTAAGGAAGAGCTTCGTAGCCTCTAGGTATTATATAAAACGACCCTTCCGCCCCTTAATTTAATTAGTATTCGGGTCTTTTTACGTATAGAAAAGAGATTCGGATTCTATTCGCGAAAAAGTATCTTTATTATTATTAAATAGGTTAGTTTCGTTAAGATCGAGGATATTTCGCTTAAGCGTAGAAGCGATTCTAACTATATCGTTATTAGTAATTAAAAAGTTCGATTCTATAATAGATATATAGAAATTCGTATAGTAGAGGTATAGAATTAATAGACTTAGTTATAATTTACGATTAGAAAAGAGGGTTAAGGCTCGATACGGAAAGGAAAACCCTTAATCCGACCGTCTCTAACTATTTTCTTAATTAGGTAAAGAACCGGGGGCTTAGAGGTACTTCCGAAATAGTATACTAGTACCGTTTTAAGTAAGTCACTTAGAGCCAAATATATTTAGCTTTAAATGCTCGAGACGATCAGGGCCTTACTAGGTGACTGCGTGCTTATTGTAGGCTCCACATCCCCAAGTCTTCTGTAGTCATTCAATCACACACAGACAACAATCACACACGAACCACACACCTCTCTTCTCTCACGCCAATCGGCTCGCCTTCCCTCCAGGCAGGTCGTCATCAATAACAGTACGATCTTACACCGCGTCTTCGGGCCTTATCTTTTTATTGCTGACTTTTCTTCTGGAAGCTCCTGAGCACCCTTCCTTGGTCTTGCATCGCTCAGAAACGTGTGTTTCGACTCGACGTAGAGATTGTGTTTGGTGTGTTGAAGTGGCCTCGTCACCCTCATTGAGTCAAGCTGCAAGCTCCTCCGGACCTCGTTTCGCCAAACCTCCATGAGCATCAACCTCGCAAACCTGCCCAAACGCTTATTGGCCCGTAGTCGACCGCATTCGCTGTTTCCGGCTTTTCCGAGGCCTCATCTGCGCCCACTCTCACGCCCCTCAAACCACGCTGTCCGCCTTACGCCAGGAGTGGCATGCGCTCCCAGAGTAGATCATCGATTCATCTATCCTGAGCAACTTGAATCTCGTCTCGACCTACTTGCCTTGTCTGCCACTCTTCTACTGATTTGTGTTGGAGTCAGCTTGGGCGACTACTGGGTAGAACAGAAACCATCACAGACACCCACGCAAGACGTAGCTGTCGTTTCCAAGAAAGAAATCATGGGGCAAGAGGCGCATCCAGGACGCCCGGGAAACCTGACGCCCGACCAGGAAGAGAAGTTGCGCCAGTTATGGGGTCACGTTCTCAAGCTGTGTGGTGTAACGGATGAGAATGTCAACGGCATGACTGAGGCCGTTGCCGGTGGTGCGGCCGACGCCGCATCCGCCGGTGACACAAACTCCCAAACCGGATCAGATCTGGCCACGCCCGGTGCAGGCAAGGCTGAGAAAGAGAAACCTAAGAAAAAACGCATCTCTCTGTTCGGCAAGAAGCATAAGGCTGCCGAGAATGAGTCGCCCACGCAAGCCCAACCTTCACCTGGTTTGATGACTCACATCAAAGAGGGCGATGGAGAGGACAAGTATGGGCAGACACAGCAATTCTTCGACGCCCTAGCCAACCAGACACCTCAGTCGCTGCGTGCCACCATCTGGAGCATGGTCAAGCATGACCACCCAGATGCTCTGCTGTTGCGCTTCCTCCGGGCTCGCAAGTGGGACGTCGACAAGGCTCTGGTTATGATGATTTCTACCATGAATTGGAGGCTCACCGAAGTTCATGTTGATGACGACATTATGAAGAACGGCGAGGCTAGTGCCGTGGCAGACGAGCAAGGCGCCGACGGAGATGCCAAAAAGCTCGGTGCTGATTTCATGGCTCAAATTCGCATGGGTAAGAGCTTCTTACATGGCGTTGACAAGTCTGGACGTCCCATTTGCGTTGTTCGTGTGCGACTTCATAAGCAGGGAGAACAATGCGAGGAGAGCCTCGAGCGGTACACTGTTTACCTTATTGAGACAGCACGGATGGTTCTGGCGCCGCCTGTTGACACAGCTGTGAGTTCTTGAGGCGCTTTTGCAGCGGAACTTCTGACTGATTTGTATTTCAGACAATCATCTTCGATATGACCGGTTTCTCCATGGCTAACATGGTATGTTGAAGCTTCCATTCAGCAACCTCTGGTCACAGGAACACTGACATCTTACAACAGGACTACACCCCCGTTAAGTTTATGATCAAGTGTTTCGAGGCGAACTACCCCGAGTCGCTTGGAGCTGTCTTGGTCCATAAGGCCCCATGGGTGTTTCAGGGTGCGTACCGTTGGCCCGCCAGTGTGTACAATGACCAGCTAATCGATGGTAGGGATCTGGAGGATTATCAAGGGGTGGCTCGACCCTGTCGTGGCAAGCAAGGTGCACTTCACCAACAACGTGAAGGAGATGCAGGAGTTCATCGAGCCGCAGCGCATCCCTCGCGAATTGGACGGCCAGGAAGATTGGGAGTATAAATACACCGAGCCAATCCCTGGTGAAAATGACAGAATGAAGGACACGGTGACCAGAGACAAGCTTCTGGAGGGGCGAGAGCATCTCATTCAAGACTGGGAGACAGCAACCATGCGCTGGATTGCCACGGGTGGGTCCGCAGAAGCGGCTGCGGTACAAGTCGAGAGGGAGAACCTCGCGCAGAAGCTCAGGGTGGATTACTGGACCCTCGACCCGTACCTTCGAGCCCGCTCCTACTACGACAGAATAGGTGTGCTACAGGATGGTGGAAAGATCGATTTCTACCCAGCTGCTGCTCCTCCGTCTGGCCGCGTCGCTGTTGAGACCTCAGCCGACGATTTAGACTAGAAGTTATGACTTTGCAACGAACACATGGTTCATAGTCTTGGTGCTTAACCACGCCACAGGGCCTGACTGCTCGAATTTTCAACTGGTACATGCAGATACACGGACATGTGCCGGCTTCTGTGGAGACTACACCTTGGACTTGAGCTCCTCAAAGAGGGCCTTGAGTTTATCCATGTCAGTCTGCTGCTGCGGCCAGCGGATACCGAGCCCTTCCGTCTCATTGGGCTTGGGGATCTAGGAATAGAATTAGCTAACACGCAGCACATCAATATAAATACAGCATATACCATGTGGAAATGGACCTGCGAGTGTCAGCAATTTCTGTCAGAGACGAGGAAGGCGTGGCAAAGAACTGACGTGGTCCACCATCTGATGAGCGGTGCGGCCATTGTTCTGCAGTATGTTGTAATCAACTGCGCCGGTGGCGTTAATCAGCTTCTTGACGACGGGCTGAGCGGTGTATTAGCTGAACTGTGCCAGGGTTGGAATTGTATTATGGTGCAAGAGGCTTACCAGAATCTCCATCAAGTGGTCGTCAGGAATATCGGTAAGCTTGGCACCATGATGCTTAGGAATGACGAGCTGGTCCAAGTTAGTGACTAAAGAGTCAAAGCCGACGAAACACGTGATAGTTTGAGTCTTACAGCATGACCCCGGCTTAGTGGATTTATGTCTAGATACGCCAACGTCTTGTCGCTCTCGAAGAGCTTGAAGCAAGGTATTTCTCCTGAAGCCGGGACACAAGAGGGGGTCAACGGTGAAACCAGGAGGGAACGTGTCATCAGTACCCACCCTTGACGATTTTGCAGAAGATACAAGAAGCGAGGCTGGTCATGTTGAAACGTCGGCAATGTTGTCATCAAGCTGAAGTAAAGCTTGTATATTGTCAGTGTTTCGATGAAATGGGAAGAGGAGAGATCTGTGGACGCACGATGAATGAATGCGTACTTTCCCCGCAACGGGCACATGGATTAGGTCAGCATTTTGGATCTCTATATAGATATAAATTAGACAGCGGTTTAGCCGGAGTGGGACCACTTATCGAATTCACCTCTTGCCTTTTACCAGATGTGACCGTTAGTTGGCCCATAAGACTCCATTCCCTCAATCTTTGGCCACCAATGAACGTGAGTTCGAATCTTGTTTTGGAATTTGGATCACATTGTTTTTGCCTGTTCCTCTGAAAGCACCTTCCTTCCACTCACGGGTCATTTATCCCTGATGAGCCCAGCAGTCGACCCACGTCGAATCTCTAATTGAAATATCTTATCTTTGACGGTTTGATGTAGGCTGCTGTATCACATCATGATCGATGTCGTGCATGCTTGCAGAGTTTGGTTGTTCATAGAAAACACTGTTGGAGCACGAAATGAGCTTATTGAGAAGAACTTGCAGGGCGGGGTAAAGGGGGATGATACAAACTGAGCTGTAATCCCTCCTGGCATTTGAAGTGGATGGTCGGTCAGGTTATGGCATCCTGCAACCCCACCTTCCCGTGCCCAGGGCAGGAGGGGGCAGACCCCACGTACGTCACAGCGTCACCCAACTGCCTGCTTGTCGCGTACATGGTTCATTTCTCAGCCTCGCAACCTCTTAAATCGCACGTACGATAGCCAAGTATCCAACAGAACTCTTCGCTACGCACCCGATTTCACCTGAATACATACGCCCGTCATGACCCGTTATAAGAACACTCTGTTGTACGGCGGGGCATTGGTTTCTGACCTGCCCGAGAAGTTTGCCGATGTCAGGTACGGAGAAGCGACGACGTAGTCCGAGCCACATGAAATAATACCTAATGCTCTCGTAGCAAACTAAGACAGGTACCGGACAACCAGGAAGTCTACATCGACCAAGATGGGTTCACCAGCATTATCTTCGACATCACGGAACGCGTAGGCCCCTCTGGCACTGGTCCAGAGATAGATGGCCGCGCCCTCACAACACACCTCGAGGAGCTGGTAGGCTCTGAAGTGGACACTGTCAAGGTGTGGAACACGACAGAAACCCAGTTCTCTCGTATTGGGTACGTACATGATAGCTGTTCCTCCTTCGCTGTTCACCTCCTCTGACATGGTCTTTCTTTCTACCAAGCGAGGACATTCCCGCCTACACCCTGATCGCGACACAGACCCCCCGTGCCGAGTCTGGAGACAGGTCGTCTTCGCCCGACTTCACGGCGATTATTTTGACCTTACTGCGCCTCGAAAAAGAATCGACGGACATCCTCATCACGATCAACGTGCCTCACATTAGGGGCGAGTACAATGAAGAGGACGTAGATCTCGAGTTGGGAAAGCAGGGCAAGCTGATCGGAGATGCGGTTGATTATGCTGCAAGGGTCTGGGAGACCTTCAAAGTCAAAGACTGGACCCTTTTTGGGGAAGTCTGAGCTGCTCAGCTTCACCAACACGTCAGGTTTGCCTATCATAGCTGTGATGTCGAATTATATACCCAGCCCAAGCGGTTCATGCATCCTACCAAGTTACAACGAGGTATCAGCACTGCGCGTCCCTCACCACAAGCCCCATACGCCCTTTACAGATTGTCATGATGCAACGCATCGCATTCATCGGACTGTACCATCTAGCCTACTAGACTTGTCTCCCTTGGCCTCATCCAGCTGATGTTCCGAGGAGTCCAAGGCCGCTGCAGCTCCGGTTCTACGCGCCCACTTCTGTGCGATGAGTAGCATCATTCCCTTCTGCGGACTCCCCGGGTTCTCCTTCTTTACAATCGGCATCTGCTCTTGAACGAACCGCTGATATCCTGACTTGTTACCAGCGGGTTTCCGCGGGATTGGTTTAGTTTGTTGCAACGGGCCCTTGCAGGCGCCGCAACGATGCCGTTCGGGGTTGATACTGCGCGAATGCCGCTTGAAACCTGTCCCGCATTCTGTGCATGTCCAGACGTACTTGAAATCAATATCATAGGAGTGCTTCGTGGTTACCACTATGCCCCTGTCTGCGAAAGTCCTTGACACTTGAGCCGCCCAGGTCTTGAACTCTTTGCCGTGGGGATTGCCAGTGATGCCGCTGATCATGAAGTTTGCGAGGTGACAAAATTCATGAGCAATGACATTGAACAGCCGATCTTCGTTGTCAATGACCTTTTCAGCAAGTTCGATGGACGCGTAGTGTCGGGACATATCAACGCTCCCCTCAATGCCGGCCTGTCTGTCAGGAAGCTTCTCTTTCCTCCAATTCGCGCGCCCGGCCGTGGTATTGAGCTTTTTAGACCATACAATCTTAATTCCTCCTGTCGATTTGGTGAGCTTACGAAGCTGACCCTGGAGAATCGCGTCATCAAGCTCCGCGAGGAAAACCTCTCCAAGATGCTGTCTTGATTGTTCAAAGCCCTTCTTCAATGCTTGGCTTTTCGGCTTAAGTTTGCCTATATTGGATTTCTCGTGGACCTTTTGTGCTGGTGGCAGTAGGCTTGTTTTTATGGGCAAGCATTCGTCTTTCCACTCATCGACAGTGTCCTGATTCCAGAATAGGTCCTGACTTGGCCTTTGGGGTATTGTAGGCAACGCTGTCAGCTTTCTGGGGTATGTCAATGTCTGACTGTTCTGCCCTGACGGTGGTAGTAGCGTTATCGTCGCTTTTGAAAACGCCAAGTCTTGGGACGAGTTCGTCAGAGAGCTTCCCAGGTTCAGGTGTGCTAGGGACCCAGCTACATCATGAACAGCTGAATTCTGCCGAGACTCTGGTGTGTTCTTTCTGCTGCCTGATGAGCCTACTTTGTGCTTTCGTACAAGCTCCCTGGATTTTGCATCGCACGTACTGGCCTTCTTCCCTTGATTTTTGTTGATAGCCCTGGTCTCACGCGATGTACTGGACACACGAAGGGGCAACCCTGCCGGCATGAGATGTTGATATGAGCCGCTGGAGGTGCAGCTATAAAACGTATCGTCATCCTCGTCGTCTTCCCCTTCGCCTGCCGTATCAATTGTTGAGTCCAAAGATATGATTGAAGCATTGTTGGCGTCTCCATCATCGCCCCTCTGAGATGACGATACCGGCAGTGCTGCTGAACATGGCTGATTACGAAGTTGGTATCGTTCAGCAGCATTTTGTATTCTTGATGAATGCTCATTGACGTGTCTTCGACTGCCGTGTGTCTGTTGCTCAACAGTATGTTCATTGCGGGTAGGAAATTTGTGATAAAAGGCGTCTCGTGCTTGTCCTAGGCTTCCGTGTCGGATGAGGGTGGGTGCTTTAGTGCTAGTCGTATACCCCGCCGAGTTGTTGTCGTCAGGTTTGGCGAGGCCTTCTTTGGCTTGTCGTGTTCTTTGTTGAAGTCTCTCCAGCAAGATATCCAGGTCTGGCAGCTCGTCATCGCTGGAGAGGTGGTCCTCGGCCATGATGACAGGTGTCAGCGAAATGGACCAAAATGAACTCTTCTGGGACCTTTACAAAGAAAGGACTCTTCACTTGGAGGACTTATCCTTCAGTGATATCCGTAGACCGCAAACGAATCGCGGTTACCTACACAATGGAGAATCTGCTGGGAAGATCCAATTACAATAGAGCCGTTGCACGGGGCAACGGTTCGGAAACCTCGATTCTTGATTGCTGCGCTGTTGTGAGCATGGTCCGAGCTCGCAACTCCATTCATTCAGTCGATGCGAGTTTGATCATTCTTTGGCCACAATGAGCTAATACCATCCACCTGCGTTCTCGGAAAGATGCGCTTTTACCAATCAGGTCCAAAATGCTCAAGATTCAGTGATCGACTTTTGACCCAGTTGGCCTCTTCCTCAAAACGCATAGTATAGGGAATTGAGTAACTTTGCAACCGTTCTTTTTCCAAGATTCACGTCTAGCACACCGAATGCAACCCTAAGCCGCCAGTGTTGGTTGATGATGAATACGCAGCATGTCCTGCGCGAACTTGCATGGTTGATGCGGTGGTATGCAGACTGGCTGTTATTGCTCCGCCTCCAAAACACAAGTCGTGGTATGTATTAGTGGGCCGTAGTACGACGCCCATAATTTGGACCACGCCGTGCTTTTGAGGTAATGTGGCATTCGGGCACTCCACAAGTCCGACGATCCCGTCCCCCATCGGAACCCAAGGTATTGTGAGAGCGGACAAAGTACGCCTTGGCAGCACGTTGCCTCATCAGTTCAATCGAATTATGGGTTATGATAGTGTATGGTATTAGGACTCTGCATCCAGGTTTGAAAGGACTGACTGGCTGGCTTTTTTCTTCGAGCTCAAAACCATGTTCCGCCAGCCATTGAGGGAGCAGCGAGCAAAGTTGGTGCGATGGTGATAGCAATAGTGAGTGGGAATTCCAGCGGTGACAGGTCCACAATCCCCCTAAATTCCAGGTCATTGATGGGCATGTCAGTTCGGCCTGCACAATGATGACGACTGAAGAGCTGAACAGGCAGCACTAGTGCGAAGAAAATGACCAGGGCAGTGATGCCGCGTCGCCCTGCCCCTGCCCCGGTACACTGTATTTAGAATGGAACAGCGGAGGCTCCCATCACTGACATGCCAATCACATCACGCTTTGGACCTACATATACATTACCGGCCAGCCCGCTGAGTCCTTCCAGGTTTGGGCAACAGGCTGGATGCCCCCTGCATTTGCAATGTTGTTGGTGGCAGCAAGGTACAACTGGACCATGTTTAAACGAAGCTCCTATTCGCTAATGTTGTAGGCCGCGATGGCGATACGGTGTGTACACACATTCAAAGTACCATTCCGCGGATTACCCACCACTGCACGGTATGTTGAAGATCGATTGGTGTGCGAGCCAGAAGCCAAGGACGATTGCGCATGAACTGAGCCAGAAACCCTCATCGCTCTTTCTCTCTAGCAATGCTGTTCCCTCTTCATCAAGACTACGCAAGAGCCGTGATCTTGATGCGCACAATGTTGGCCGGAGATAAGGTCTACCGGTAGATCGTGCCCTCAACATGTAGGACCCACTAAGGAGGCACTGTTGACACAGGACGCTTTCGGCGCACTGTGTGGACCCGTACAGCGGAGTTTGAGACAGAGTGGGCTCAACGGGTGACAGTCCGGCAGGGGTAACAAACAGTGCGATGAACGAATTAGTCACCTCAGACGAGTAGGTGTGCGCGAAAACCCGAATGCCATGTGTTGCTGATGCCCCTGGCTAAGGCACGGTAGAACGCACTGTGGTATAGCGAGCAAAGTTTCAACAAAGTTGCAGTGGTCTTGAGGAGCATCACGATGCTCAGGGGTGTGCTCTACACATAACACAGTGATCTGTAACTCATTGCACTGTTTTCCACAGGCATTGCAAGGAGATACAGGATCGGCTTGCAAGTTCTGCTGCTCGCTACCTACCTCTCCTGAGCGAACCTCAGACCAGGTCTTGGCAGATGGAATCCCTCACACAGTACGGTACAAGCACTCCATCGTCACTGGCCCACCATCATTCTTTCTAGCGCGCCGAGTGCCCCCTTTGCCCGTGCCACCCCCTGCCTCGCGCCTCCCAACCTCGATCCTTTCCTCTTTTCCAGTACGATTGTCTGGATTCGCATTTCCATCTTCATCCGCAACCCCCCTTTCCTTCTTACCCACCTGGAGCATCTTGCATTGGATGCTGCACGACCATCAACCGCGTTGATTGTCTGTCAATTCTTTCCTGCTGCCTCTCTCTTTAAATTGCCTCGTCTCGGTTCGTCGCCAGATGAGCCTACACAGGCAGTCTCAAGCCTAGTCTTTCGCTCCCATCGCCACTCGTTTGACACGTTGAGGAGCAGCGACCGCATCGCCCCGGACTCAGCAGCAAGCCCCGGACGCCTCGCTCGTTCGACCAGAACGACCAGCCAAACAAAATCACGAGAATCTTCTTTATCAAACCCCAAAGACACATTTCCCAGCCGACCTGCCGCGCTTCCGCGACTTCCGGCGCCACTGCATCCACGCTTCGTGTCGAATCCGACAGCAGCTGAGGAGTCTTCGCCATCATGTCGGGCTATCCAGCCGGTGGCCACCAGGACTACGATGACGGCTACGGCCAGCAGCGTGGTCAACAGGGAAACCAGCAAGGTAGCACTGCAAACGATGGGTACTATCAGGACAATAACGACCAGTACTATTACGACAACCAAGGCTACGACACTCGTGGTGGCCAACAGGGCAACGATGGGTACTACGACGAATCGTATGTTGTAATCAGACGCCCTTGCGTTGATCCATCGCGAATTCCCAGAGTGCCACGCTAACATTGCTCAGGGGCTATTACAATGCTGACCCCAACAATCCCTATCAGCAAGATGGCGGTTACTACGACGGCCAGGACCAGTACCAGGATGACTACTACAATGGACACAATGGCCAGCAGGGACAAGGGGCGTACTACGACCAGGACTATAACCAGGGCTACGGCTCAGGTGGCCGACGTCAGGGTTCTGAAGAGGACTCTGAAACCTTCAGCGACTTCACAATGAGGTCCGACATGGCTCGAGCCACCGATATGGACTACTACGGTCGTGGAGATGAGCGCTCCAACAGCTACGGCGCTGATCCCTCGGGCGGTCGCGGGTACAGGCCTCCCTCGTCTCAGATCTCGTACGGCGGCAATCGCTCTTCTGGCGCCTCAACTCCCAACTACGGCATGGACTACAGCAACGCCCTTCCTGCTGGGCAGCGATCTCGTGAGCCGTATCCTGCTTGGACTTCGGATGCCCAGATCCCGCTCTCCAAGGAAGAGGTTGAGGACATCTTCCTGGATCTGACCGCCAAGTTTGGTTTCCAGCGTGACAGCATGCGCAACATGTACGATCACCTCATGACTTTGCTAGATTCGCGTGCTTCTCGCATGACCCCCAACCAAGCGCTCCTGTCCCTTCACGCAGACTATATCGGCGGAGACAACGCCAACTACCGCAAGTGGTACTTCGCCGCTCACCTCGACCTCGACGACGCTGTCGGTTTCGCCAACGTGAAGGGCAAGGGTCTCAAGCGTAAGAACAAGAAGAATAAGAAGAGCAAGGACCAGACCGAGGATGAGGCGCTGGCCGACCTTGAAAACGACGACAGCCTCGAGGCTGCTGAGTACCGCTGGAAGACCCGCATGAACCGCATGTCACAACACGATCGCACCCGCCAGATCGCCTTGTATCTGCTGTGTTGGGGCGAGGCGAACCAGGTTCGCTTCATGCCTGAATGTCTCTGCTTCATCTTCAAGTGTGCGGATGACTATCTCAACTCTCCGGCTTGCCAGAACCTGGTTGAACCTGTTGAAGAGTTCACCTTCCTGAACAATGTCATCACGCCTCTATATCAGTATTGCAGGGAGCAGGGCTACGAGATCTCGGATGGCGTTTACGTGCGCCGGGAACGTGATCACCATCAAATTATTGGCTACGATGATTGCAACCAATTATTCTGGTATCCCGAGGGCATCGAGCGCATTGTCCTTGGCGACAAGTCCCGCTTGGTTGACCTCGCCCCTGCCGAACGCTATCTCAAGTTCGCAGAGATCAACTGGCCCAAATGCTTCTTCAAGACATACAAGGAGTCCAGGTCATGGTTCCATTTGCTTGTTAACTTCAACCGCATCTGGATCATTCACCTTACCATGTTCTGGTTCTACACCTCTTTCAACGCACCAAGTCTGATCATCGGACCATCTTACGAACAACAAGTCGACCAAGACCCTGTTGCTTCCAAGTACTGGTCTGTTGTCGCTCTGGGTGGCAGCATTGCCTCCCTGATCCAAATTTTCGCCACACTTGCTGAATGGGCTTACGTCCCTCGCCGCTGGGCTGGAGCGCAGCATCTGACCAAGCGACTACTCTTCCTAATATTGATCTTCGCCATCAACATTGGTCCGAGTGTCTACATCTTGTTCGTCGCCACAGCTGCACAGGAAAAGATTGCCAAAATTCTGGGCATCGTCCAATTCTTGGTCGCCGTCTTCACTTTCCTCTTTTTCGCCGTTATGCCGCTGGGAGGCCTGTTCGGCAGCTATTTGACCAAGAACTCCCGGAAGTACGTGGCCAGCCAAACCTTCACCGCAAGCTACCCTCGCCTCAAGGGCAATGCTCTCGCGATGTCCTACGGCCTCTGGGCCGCTATTTTTGGCGTCAAGCTTGGCGTGTCATATGCCTATCTGGCCCTGTCGTTCAGGGATCCGATTAAATACCTTTTCATCATGAAGCTCAAGTGCCAGGGCGATTCCCTGTTCGGCACTGGCATGGCCGATGTCCTCTGCAAGCAGCAGGGTATCATTCTGCTGGGCTTGATGGCATTCACTGATGTTATTTTCTTCTTCTTGGACACCTATCTGTGGTACGTGTTGATGAACACCCTGTTTTCCATCGCTCGATCATTCTACATCGGTTCTTCGATTTGGACGCCTTGGAGGAATATTTTCTCCCGCCTTCCTAAGCGCATTTACTCGAAGGTACTGGCCACCACGGACATGGAGATCAAGTACAAGCCCAAGGTCCTGATCTCCCAGGTCTGGAATGCCATCGTCATCTCCATGTACCGGGAGCACCTGCTTGCTATCGACCACGTTCAGAAGTTGCTGTACCATCAGGTCCCTTCCGAACAGGAGGGCAAGCGAACCCTTCGAGCCCCTACCTTCTTCGTCTCACAGGAGGACAAGTCTTTCAGCACTGAATTCTTCCCCGCTGATAGCGAGGCTGAACGTCGCCTGTCTTTCTTCGCCCAGTCGCTTTCCACCCCGATTCCAGAGCCTCTGCCTGTGGATAACATGCCGACATTCTCCGTTCTCATCCCCCACTATAGCGAGAAGATTTTGCTCTCACTTCGCGAGATCATTCGGGAAGATGAGCCGTACTCCCGTGTTACTCTGCTCGAATACCTCAAGCAGCTTCATCCTCACGAGTGGGACTGCTTTGTCAAAGACACCAAAATCCTCGCCGATGAAACCTCTCAATTCAACGGCGAGCTGGAGAAGCCAGAGAAGGATGCCGCCAAGAGCAAGATCGACGACTTGCCCTTCTACTGCATCGGCTTCAAATCTTCTGCCCCCGAATACACACTCCGCACTCGTATTTGGGCCTCGCTTCGCTCTCAAACACTGTACCGCACGATTTCTGGTTTCATGAACTACAGCCGCGCCATCAAGCTTTTGTATCGTGTTGAGAACCCCGAAGTGGTTCAGATGTTCGGTGGCAACTCTGACAAGCTCGAGCGTGAGCTTGAGCGCATGGCGCGCCGCAAGTTCAAAATCATTGTCTCTATGCAGCGTTACGCGAAGTTCAAGAAGGAGGAGATGGAGAACACTGAGTTCCTGCTCCGCGCCTACCCTGACCTGCAAATTGCTTACCTGGACGAAGAATTGCCCGTTGCTGAGGGTGAAGAGCCGCGCCTCTACTCCGCTTTGATTGACGGACATTCTGAAATCATGGAGAATGGCATGAGAAGACCCAAGTTCCGTATTCAGCTTTCTGGCAACCCTGTCCTTGGAGACGGCAAATCAGACAACCAGAACCACTCCATCATCTTCTATCGCGGCGAATACATCCAGCTGATTGACGCCAACCAAGACAACTACCTTGAGGAGTGTCTCAAGATTCGCAGCGTCCTAGCCGAATTCGAGGAAATGAAGACCGATACGGCCTCGCCCTACACCCCTGGCGTCAAGAGCAAAGCATTCTCTCCTGTTGCTATCCTGGGCGCTCGCGAGTATATTTTCTCAGAGAACATCGGCATCCTTGGTGATGTTGCCGCTGGCAAGGAGCAGACGTTCGGCACGCTATTTGCACGTACTTTGGCTGAAATTGGCGGCAAGCTACACTATGGGCACCCCGATTTCCTCAATGGTATCTTCATGACCACCCGAGGTGGAGTTTCCAAAGCTCAGAAGGGTCTACATCTGAACGAGGATATCTACGCTGGTATGCAAGCTGTCATTCGTGGTGGTCGTATCAAACACTGCGAATACTATCAGTGCGGCAAGGGTCGTGATCTGGGTTTCGGATCGATTCTGAACTTCGTCACCAAGATCGGTACCGGTATGGGAGAACAAATGCTTTCGAGAGAGTATTATTATCTTGGTACACAACTCCCTCTTGACAGGTTCTTGTCCTTCTACTACGCCCACGCTGGATTTCACATCAACAACATGTTCATCATGTTGTCCATTCAGATGTTCATGATCTGCCTGCTCAACTTGGGCGCCCTTCGCCACGAAACCATTCCTTGCAATTACAACCGAGACGTTCCTCCCACCGACGCTCTTTTTCCTACTGGCTGCGCCAACACGGACGCGATTCAGGACTGGGTCTACCGCAGTATTTTGTCGATTATTTTCGTCATTTTCTTGTCTTTTGTCCCCCTGTTCGTGCAAGAGCTCACGGAACGAGGATTTTGGAGGGCTGCCAAACGTCTGTCAAAGCAAATTTGCTCGCTCTCGCCGTTCTTCGAGGTCTTCGTTTGCCAAATTTACGCCAATTCGGTCCAACAAGATCTGTCGTTTGGCGGCGCTCGGTACATCGGTACTGGTCGTGGGTTTGCCACCGCTCGCATTCCTTTTGGTGTTCTCTATTCCCGCTTCGCCGGCCCTTCCATCTACTTTGGCTCTCGACTCCTCATGATGCTCCTATTCGCCACGGTCACCATCTGGCAGGCGGCTTTGACCTATTTCTGGATCACCCTGATGGCGTTGGTCATCTCTCCCTTCCTCTATAACCCTCACCAGTTCGCTTGGAGTGATTTCTTCATCGACTATCGCGACTTTCTACGCTGGCTCTCGCGCGGTAATTCACGGTCACACGCATCCTCGTGGATTGCTTTCTGCCGACTTTCCAGGACGCGTATTACTGGTTATAAGCGCAAGGCACTCGGCGACCCATCCGGCAAGATGTCCGCCGATGTGCCTCGCGCCGCAATCGCCAACCTCTTCTGGGGCGAAATTGCCTGGCCGTTCGTGCTGGTTCTTGTGACGGTTGTCCCGTTTCTCTACATCAACGCGCAAACTGGAGTAAACGAGGATAACAATCCTAACGTCACAATCGCACCGACGAGCTCGTTGATCAGGATCGGCGTCATCGCTTTGGCGCCACTTGCCATTAATGCGGGCGCGCTGCTTGTATTCTTCTGCATGGCATGTTTCATGGGTCCTCTTCTCAGCATGTGCTGCAAAAAGTTCGGCAGCGTTCTAGCCGCTATTGCTCACGCAATCGCAGTCATCATGCTTCTGGTTTTCTTCGAAGTCTTGTTCGTGCTGGAGAGCTTCAACTTTGCTAGAACTCTGTGCGGAATGATCGCCGTTGTAGCTATCCAGCGGTTCATCTTCAAGCTCATTGTCTCGTTGACATTGACGCGCGAGATCAAGACTGACCAGTCTAACATCGCATTCTGGACAGGAAAATGGTATTCCATGGGTTGGCACTCGGTTTCCCAACCAGCCCGCGAATTCCTCTGCAAAATCACTGAGCTGAGCATGTTTGCGGCCGATTTCGTGCTCGGCCACACACTGCTATTCTTCATGTTGCCCTTGATCCTGATTCCGAAAATCGATATGCTTCATTCTATTATGCTGTTTTGGCTGCGGCCCAGGTACGTCGCAATCACTCCTTCCAAGCAACACAAGACTAATATTCATCAAGCCGCCAAATCCGTCCGCCCATCTACTCGATGAAGCAATCAAAGCTTAGGCGCAAGCGTGTTTTCCGCTATGCTGTGCTCTACTTTGTCATGTTTGTCGTCTTTGTGGCTTTGATCGCTGGACCTGTTGTTGTCGGCAACCTGGATGTCCTGGACCCTGAAAAGCAGTTTGGAAACCTGGTCAGTGGCATGAAACTGGTCCAGCCGAACGGGCTTGACCATGATGACACACGAAATGAGACCGAGACGGGCCCCAAGGGTGACGACTACACCGGAGTCGCCCTGACAATTTCCACGTTCTCGCTCGGCGGCAACGCTCGGGCGACAAGGGGCGCCAACGACAGGATGGTCCGTCTTCTTTAAGTCAACCAGCAAGGCTTGTGTAGTGTGTCCCCTAAGATTCATTCCACTCATGGCGACAGATTGGAGCACTTGACATGTCGACATACGGGGAACAGGGTAGGCGGATGCGAGCCCCCTGTTGGGCATTTTGTTTCTTTATGCAGCAACAGTCTTGTCTCACGCGGTAATGGGAAGTTGGGCCTTAGAATTGTGTATAGTATGAACTTGTTAGGTCAGATCGTCTGAAAACTCTTATGTCCTCGGTGCTTATTGTGTCTGTGGAGCGCATAGGTGATACAGCCGGAGCCCTGCCTCAGTACATAGAATGGTCACCGCCTGCCTAAAAAGCTTAATGTACATCTCAGCAGGTACTAGCTCAATACATAATCGAGGCCGTCCACTTCTGTGAAACATAGGTAATGTAGGGCGGACTAGATATGCAGTTCGTTATATGCCCTAATTCAATGAGCGATATTTACTCTCTGCTACTCGAATATGATCATACGAAGAAGTACTGACGCTAAATTTAGGCACCAGAGGTATAAGGCGCAGCATTGTGGGTCTCCTTTCTCTTGTACGCGTCTGCTGCTTTTTCTCCGTCACATCCCACGTCTGTCATATTGGGTGCCTTGCCTACATAGGTACCATAGAGATCCACTAGCGCCGCTCCCCTGTTACGGAGTATATCCTTCACATGCATGGAGAGTACCTTTTCCCAAAGCCCATTCAACCACTGAAAATCAGACACCAGCCTAACGACAGCCCCTCGTGCGAGATATCCTGTTTCAGCCAACGTTTTCCGTCGTCAAAGGAAAGATACGTCAACTTTACGATGGATCCCGACGAAATCCGGACCTTGGTGGCCTCTTGGTGGCGACACGCCGCTACGAGCTTTCAGAAAGTCCCTGGCTCAGCGGTCCTGGTGCGCTACGTGCAGTCTAGCTATCAAAATGATCCCATTCGATCCGCTCTGGAATTGGTCCTCGTCATCTTCTTCATCCGCTATCTTCTGTCGCCTTCCTACTCGACCCAGAAACAGAATTATGTCAAGCTTCGCGACGACGTACGTCACCCCTGAGGTTGTGATCTGAGGCAACTTACCTTGTTCGCTAATACGGGACTAGGAAATCGACGAGTTGGTGGAAGATTGGACACCTGAGCCTCTTGTGGGTGCTCAGACTGCCTTTGAAGAAATGGAGGCTGAGAAGCTTCCCATCATCGTCGGGTAAGATTTGACCAGATCAAGTATTGAGAGAAACCATTCAGCCATTAACTAACCATCGTCTAGCCCGACTGGACCTAAATCGAAGCTCGGGAATGGACGGACCGTGACAAATCTTGCGACGTACAATTTCTACAACTTCAATGCCAACGAACAGATCAAAGAGAAAGCAATTCAAACACTGCGAACATATGGGGTAGGACCTTGCGGTCCCCCCCAATTCTACGGAACACAGGATGTGCACATGAAGACAGAGGCAGACATTGCAGCGTACCTTGGTACAGAGAGTTGTATCGTGTACGCGCAGGCTTTCTCTACAATCTCCAGCGTTATCCCAGCTTTTTGTAAGCGCGGCGACATTATCGTCGCTGATCGGGCCGTAAATTACTCTATCCGGAAAGGTCTGGAGATTTCCAGGAGCAGCATCAAGTGGTACCAGCATGGCGACATGGACGACCTTGAGCGCGTGATGCAAAAGGTTGTCAAAGAACAGGCCGGCAAGAGACTTACAAGGCGATTCATTGTCGCCGAGGGCCTCTTCGAGACCACAGGTGACAGCATTGACCTGCCGAAGCTCGTCGAACTCAAAGAAAAGTACAAGTTCCGCATCATCCTCGACGAAACATGGTCCTTTGGCACATTGGGTCGAACTGGACGAGGCTTGACGGAGGCGCAGAACGTTGATCCTACGCAGGTAGACATGATTATTGGGTCTCTGGCTGGACCTCTCTGCGCTGGCGGCGGCTTTTGCGCCGGGGCTAAAGATGTGGTTGAGCATCAGCGCATATCCGCAGCATCCTACACATTCTCGGCAGCTCTTCCCGCGATGCTGGCTGTTACAGCTAGCGAGACGGTTAGCGTGCTCCAATCTAACCCCGACATCCTGACGCAGTGTCGCGATAACATTCGGGCGATGCGGGCGCAACTCGACCCCCGCAGCGACTGGGTGACGTGCACCAGCGTTCCCGAGAATCCCATCATGCTACTGGTGCTGAAGGGTGATGTAGTTGAAGCCCGCAATCTTTCCATGGTGGAGCAAGAGCGTCTCTTGCAGGATTGTGTTGATGAGGTATAACGCTCCTGTTCGATTTCATGTCCTCGTTATTACGAGTGGATTTGCTAACGGTCTTGGGCAATGCAGGCTCTAGCCAACGGGGTTCTTATCACTAGACTCAAGACGACGCCACTGCTAAACAGCATTGGACCCCGTGACGACGGGTGGCAGGTTCAGCCGGCCCTCAAGATTTGCGTGACGTCGGGCCTGTCGAAGAAGGATATCGAGAAGGCGGGGGTAACGATCCGACATGCCATTACAAAGGTTATGACCCGAAAGGCCAGCATTCGAAGCGCGTGATGGAGCAACTCGCTGTAAAACATTCGGTTTCAGGCTGTGTGATTCCCAGCTGGCTTTGGAGGCACAGGTGTGTACAATGGAATGCGAATCGCAGAAGATGTTATTCTCATGGCCTGTTGAGACAAGGCAGGTGAGGGTAAGTTAGCTGATTCTTCAGGATCGACAATTTAATCTTAATTCGGTATGTATCAACAGCTACCACAAATGCACTTTCAGATGCTTGTCGGTTGCGAACTCCAGGAGGTGTGAAGCGAAGATGTTGATCCAAGACCAATTGGCGAGTATCCCTTGCGATGGCAAACCGTCAAGAGAGAGAGGGGGTGTAGAGGGGTAGCGAAGTCTGGCATGCACTGCATTCCAGTCGCGACTTGTCCCGCCCCCTCCCCCTCTCCCTCATTTCTGTCCGTGTTCTCAATGTTTTGGGGGTTCTTGGCTACATTCAGCAGCCAATGCTGCTCGTGGTATGCAGTATGCCTGTCGCGGTCGTACTATTTCTTCCTTGCACCCCGGCAATCGTTGCGTCGCAGCATACGCTCTACCTTCTTTTCTCCTGTCTCCTTCTTGCGCGATTGTCCAGCCTGGACACTGTTGTAGTCTTCTCTCATTACTCTATGCTTGTTCAGCCGGTATGTCCGTCCCAGACTTGGTTCTGTGGTCGAGGAACCTACCATGACGGAACGTGCTAACTTATCCTTCGTGGAAGTCGCGGTACGGCCAAGCACCCTCACTCCTTAATCAAGCTAGAGCCTTTTGCGCTCATTTTCCACTTCATCATGAGAGCTGGCATGTTTTCTCTTCCTGCCGCTGTGACACTTGGCCTGCTGGCTGTTTGTCAAGCGAAGCCGACTGGTAGGAACACATCGAAATCGTCTGTCTGTTGACTTCCCTAACCGAACTTATAGGCAACTACCGGCATCGGTTGCTTCATGCTGAGCGCCGTGCGGAACAATTGTTGACAGTCGTGGACACTTCTGTTTCATCTCCGACCGTAGTCCCCAAGGTTGTGGTCTACAAAGGCAAGGACGGCTCTGGTCAGCACACCGCCACGAGAGACGTCCTGTTTGTGCCTGCCGAGACTCAAGTCATCACTCTTGAATCTGCGGACTCGACACCCAACGCCAGCTCGACTCTCAAAACGGACGCTCCTGCTGCCACAGGCAGTTCCAAAACCGGGTCCGGCTCGGCTGCGAGCAGTCTCCCGGGCATTGCCTACGCACCGTACACTGCATCGGGTGACTGCAAGTCAGCCGACCAGGTCCATGATGACTTTGTTACGTTCACAGGAAAGTACTCGATGGTCCGCATTTACGGAATCGACTGTGAGCAGGTGGCCAAGGTTGTCCCGGCTGCTAAAAAAGCTGGTCTCAAGCTCTTCCTTGGCATTTTTGAGCTTGCAGGCATCGATCAGCAAGTCGCGTCCATTGTTGAAGCCGTCGGTAAAGAATGGTCGATCGTCGATACTGTCAGCGTTGGCAACGAGCTTGTGAACAAAAAGGCTGCCACTCCCTCCCAGGTGGTCTCGGCTATGAGTCAAACTCGCTCGCTTCTCAGGGATGCCGGTTATGAAGGCCCTGTCGTCACTGTGGACACCTTCATTGCTGTCCGGGACAATCCTGAGTTGTGTGACGAGTCTGATTACTGCGCAATGAATGTCCATCCGTTCTTCGACGGAAACACTCCGGCCGATGAAGCAGGCTCCTTCATTACCCGCATGGTCTCTGAGGTGCAGTCGAAGCTGGCCGATCCATCCACGCGCATGGTTGTCAGTGAGACTGGATGGCCGTGGCAGGGAACTATTAACCGCGTTGCGGTTCCTGGCCGCAGCCAGCAGAGCATCGCCATCGAGTCAATCAGGGCCGCCTTTTCAGACCATCCTGGCGACCTTTTCCTCTTCTCTGCTTTCAACGATCCCTGGAAGCCTGTTTCCGCCGATACTTTCAATGCTGAGCAATTCTGGGGCATTGACGGCCTTGACTCGTCGTCCTAAACTGCCGAAGGCATGCTTGGGACACGCATCGTTGCCAAGGTTCGGTTCGGTTTATCGTGATGTCGATGTCATGGGGCTTCGGAATCGGAACTCAGCAAAAGTATTGGACATGCTCGGCTTTTAGATCTCGAGCACTTCTGAAGCAGAGCGACCAGCAATATATCGACAGTCATTTCATCTTTAGTTCTATCCTGATACACATATAGGGTCAAAAAAAAAAACTCCCGGCATGACTGACTTGATTGATCTCCATTTGCTTGCTTCCGCGATGGCAATAGCTGGGCGATGATGGCTCGCGCCATCAACCTATCTTGGTACTTTTATTGGCCCCAAAAGAACCTGTCTTCCCAATCGAACGCATAGAGGTTTGTCCATCCACTGGTAGTGTGGTGATATACATGGTTGGGTGCTGAAGGACCTTACAAGCGGCATGGATGTTATGTCCTCTTACAAGCCCCGGGAGACTGCACCTCGCCAACCGATGGTCAGAGACCTAAAGGGGTTGGGTCTTGGGGTCTGAAGGAATGTCTACTGTATTGGTTGTATCCTCAAGGCTGGCGGGCGATGCCGAATGATATGATATGATGCTGATCCGTGAAGCATGTGATTAGGCGCCGCAGCCTTGGGGTTTTACTATTCGCGTGATCCACAACATGAAGACCTCGAAGCCATTTTGAGGTGCACAGCTTGTTTGTTCACATTAGCTAGGATCTAGAGGCTCCTCAGGCAGCTGCGTCTCCAAAGGTCTCCAAAGCGCTGTCTCAGAACCAGAATACATCTTCGAGCTGCCGCTTCTGCATTTGATCACGGAGAGCGTCGGGGACACTTAACGAAATGTCTGTCGACGAAAGGGGGATTTCCTGGGCCCCATAACTTTATACGAGTTTCAAGGGTCTAGCAGTGACTGTTACGACCTGAGCACTGTGTGATGCCGTCGGCATTTCAATAGCTTCCTCGAATCACGCTATTCGCATATCCACCGTGGCATTACGTTTTGGCAGCATATACTTTATCAGCTTGTCATATGTACTTCAACTTGTTTGAGATATTTTGGCCAAAGAACTCGTTGGCGCGCAGAGTTACTCCTGACTGCTGTATGTCGCCGCGCCCATCACGTGACATGTTGAGGAGGGAAAATCTTGAATACAAGCTTTCTCACCCGAAGCAGTGACTTGGTTTTTCATTGATACTGTTGAACCGCAACTCAATCAATCACGAAATTCTACACCATGATCATGGGAAAGTCGCCTTGTCGGATCTTGGTCATGGCTTCCGGCCATGGCTCGAACTTCCAAGCCCTCATTGATGCCATAGCTGTTGGTGGGCTTCCAGATAGCCGCATTATTTCTCTCATCACGAATCGGAAGAATGCACATGCAACTGCTCGAGCGGAGAAAGCAGGTCAGGTCTTCCTCGTGTGAACTTTTTGAGCCTTCAGCTCACCTCAGATTAGGCATCCCTTGGGAGTACTTTAATCTGATCAGTCACGGGTTCTTGCAAAGGGGAGAGTCAGATGAGCAGAAGGTGACTGAGGGGCGTCAGAATTACGATTCTACGCTGGCTGCAAGAATACTCTCAGAGAGCCAAGAAAAGCCTGAGTTAATTGTTCTCGCCGGTTGGATGCACGTCTTCTCAACTTCGTTCCTGGAGCCTCTCGAGAAGGCAGGGGTGAAGATTATCAATCTTCATCCGGCTCTACCAGGTAAGTCAAGAAACACACCAGCAGGGCTCCGTACTCATACGTCGATGTAGGAGAATTCGATGGGGCCAGGGCGATTGAGCGAGCTTTCGAAGAGCTCAAGGCTGGCCGCATCAAACGCACAGGTATAATGGCCCACTACGTTATTGACGAAGTGGATAGGGGCGAGCCTATTATTACTCAAGAAATTGAGTGGAACGGGGAAGATTTGGAAGACTTGGAGAAAAAGATTCACTCCTATGAGCACAGTTTGATTGTGAGGGCGACGGCAATGGTGGCGAAGGCGATCATAGACAGAAGGGACACATAAACAAAGACACTACAGCATCCCCCACCCAGGTAAAGGGTACAATATTTAAAAGAATCAACATCTTAAAGATATAGTTACTATCACTATTAACAAGCCTGCTAAGTATAGGATACTATTAGTAGTATATACTCAGTTAATATTAACCTAGTAATAGGTAGCCTATACTCTATATACTTTATAAGGCTTAGATTTATATACCCTCCTACTCTAGAAATAGAGTAAGATATAATAACCCTACTAATTAGAACCTATAAGTAAATAACTACTTTAAGTAAATAGTGATTTTAAGTTAGGTCTTATATCTTAATAGATAAAGGTAGAAGGGAAGGGAGAAAAGAAAGTTATTATATTTTAGGAGGGAAGTATTAGATCGATATATAAGTTAAATATTCTAATCGCCCTTATTTTAAGCTAAAGAATATAAAGGGGTTAAGGGTCTAAGAAGAAAGGTAACGGACTTCCTAGGCGAGTGGACAACCTGGGCGAGTAGACTACCCTATAGCGACTCGATGCATCGATATATTTAAGACGTAATAACTCTACCTACTAATATAGAATCGCTTTCTAT